CAGGCGTGAAGCCGGGAAGCCGCGCAGATGAGAGAAGCTGGCTGAAGCGGCTCAGAGCCGGAAAGCCGCCAAGAAGCCGCCGAGAAGCAGCCTCGGGGCGGGCACCGGGAAGCCGCAGGGATAAGAGAAACAGAAGTTTAGAAGTAAAATGAGAGAAATAGGAATGCTGGAAGATGGAAGTAAAATGGGAGAAATAGGAATGCCCGGAGATAGAGAAATAGAGAAAAGTAAGGCCTCCCCACAACATGGCAATGAGAGGGCTTGGATTCGGTCTGCCTGATTAGGGAGGTGGTGAGCACCTGCGGGCGGCTAGCAACTTACGCGCCGCAGGTCACCGAAGACAGGCATGAATTAACATCAATAGTCTCCCCACAATACCGCAATGAGAAGGCTTGGATTCGGTCTGCCTGATTAGGGCGATAAGCACCAGCAGGCAGCTCGACCAGAGTATGAGCTGCAGGTCACCGAAGATAGGCACGAATCAACACCAATAAGCCTCCCCACAATATGGTGCTGAGAAGGCTTGGATTCGGTTTGCCTGATTGCTAGGTTTTGTAAGCACCTGCAGGCAGAGCAGAACATGCGCTGCAGGGCACCGAACACAGGCACGCATCAGCGCCTAAAAACCTCCTCACAACATGGCGAAGAGAGGACCCGGATTCGGTTTGCCTGATTGATAGGACTTGTAAGAACCTGTGGCAACTCTAGCAAGCAGAGCAGAGTGTGTGCTGCGGGACACTGAAGACAGGCGCGTATCAACGCCAAAAAATAAAAAGAAAGGGGGATCTGTGGGGAGCAACCCGGACTATACTGTTACTGGAATTAAGACTTATTCTATGCATCTGCTCTCCCACAATATGGCGCTGGGAGAGAAGAAAGAGGCTTCCGCACAGCTGCCTCCAGTTCAACCAATAAACTGTAGGACTTGCTCCTGATTGGAGGAGAGCAGCGTACTCGGCGTGTGGGCAGCCGAGTTGGGATTGGTGGAGGAGGACTATAAAGGAGGAGAGAGACGGCATGCACCAGGAACATCTAAGGGGAACATCTAGCTGAAGGAACACCTGTGCAGCCCCCGAGAAGAGCCGGCCGGCAGTGTGCCGCTCCCCTGCAGAAGTGGGGAATGTGGCCAGGGGGAACTGCCCTTCCACGGAGGTGGAAGGGATAGTAGCCAACCCGGGAAGAACCAGCAGCAAACCCGGGGAGGGCCGAGCAGACGAAAGAACAGCGCAGGGTCCTGTGTCGTTCCTCCACGAAGAGGGGGAGCGACATAATGGTGCCGTGACTCGGATATGAAGCCTAGGCAGGGCTTAGTGTCGTTCCTCCACGAAGAGGGGGAGCGACACTATAGATCAATATCTATGATAAACATAGATGTAAAAATCCTCAAAAATACTAGCGAATTTAATCCAACAAGATAGCAAAATGGTCATCCATCCAAAGTAAGATTTATTCTAGAGATGCAGGGGTGGTCCAGCATATGCAAACTAAATGTGATCATCACATTAACAAACTGAAGAATAAAAACAAAGTGATTATTTCAATAGATGAGAAGAAGCCATCTGATAAAATACAACATCCTTGGGGAAGGCGCCGTGGCTCACTTGGTTAATCCTCCGCCTGCAGTTCCCGCATCCCATATGGGCGTCAGTTCTAGTCCCAGCTGCTCCTCTTCCAGCCAGCTCTCTGCTGTGGCCCGGGGAAGGCAGTGGAGGATGGCCCAAGTGCTTGGGCCCCTGCACCCGCATGGGAGACTGGGAGGAAGCACCTAGCTCCTGGCTTCCAATTGGTGCAGTTCCAGCTGTAGCGGCCATTTGGGGAGTGAACCAATGGAAGGAAGACCTTTCTCTCTGTCTCTCTCTCACTGTCTATAACTTTACCTGTCAAATAAAAAAATACAACATCCTTTCATGGTTTAAAAACTTTAATGAATGGGTATAGAAGGAACATACCATAATACAATCAAGGCAAAATATGATAAACCCACAACCAGCATCCTTCTGAATGGGGAAGAGCTGGAAGCACTTCCACTAAGATCTTGAACCAGACAAGTATGCCCACTCTCACCATTCTTATTCAATATAGTTCTGAAAGTTTTAGAGCCATTAGTCAAGAAAAAAAAATCAAAGGGATAGAAATCAGAAAGGAGAAAGTCAAATTATTCCTGTTCTCTGCATGTAGAAGTAAGCAGCAAGACCCCTACTACCTTACACCTTACACAAAAATGCACTCAAAATGAATCAAAACCTAAATCTACAACTATACCATGAAATTATTAGAGCACATTGGGAAAATCCTTCAAGATACTGACATAGGCAGAGTTCTTGGAAAAGACCCTAGAGGCACAGGCAATCAAAGCCAAAATAGACGAATGGGATTACATGAAATTGAGAAACTTCTGCACTGCAAAAGAAACACTCAGCAAAGTGAAGAGGAAATGAAATCAGCATATGAAAGAGTTATCTGTACCCCCATGTTTATTGCAGCTAATTCACAGTAGCTAAGATATGGAATCAACCCAGATGTCCTTCAACTGAAGACTGGATAAAGAAATTATGGGATATGTACACCATGGGATACTACACAGTGGTTAAAAAAAAAAAAACACAAACATTATACTTAGTGAAATAAGCCAATGCCAAAAGGACAATAACATGTTCTCCCAGATCTGTGGTAATTAATAGAGCACCTAAAAGATAATCTTATAGAAGTAAAATTGACACTTTGAGATGTGATGACTTTGAACAGCCCTTGTCTCAACTGTTGAAAACCAGGTTTTTTGAGTATAATTGAAAATGGGATCTTAGTGTAAAAGAAGAATGGGAATAGAAGAAGAATATGGGTAGGAGTGCAGGTGGGAGGGCAGATATGGTGGGAAAAATCACTGTGTTCCTAAAGTTGTATTTATGAAATGTATGAAGTTTGTATACCTTAAATAAAAGGTTTCTGGGAGGAAGAAGCAAATTATCCCTGTTTGCACATGACATGATCTTTTATGTAGGGGAACCAAAAACTTCACTAAGAGACTTTTGAAACTCATGAGAGAATTCAGCAATATTGCAAGTTATAAAACCAACACGCAAAAATCAATAGCATTCTTATACATCAACAATGTTATGTATGGGAAGGAACTTGTAAGGTCAATCCCATTCACAGGAGCTACAAAAAACTTTAAAACCTTGGGATAAATTAATCAAGAATGTGAAAGATCTCTACCATAAAAATTATAAAACATTAATGAGAGAAATAGAAGGCACAAAAAATGGAAAATCTTCCATGTTGATGGATTGGAAGAATTAATAACCTGAAAATGCCCATTGTACCCAAAGCAATTTGCAGATTCAAAGCAATCCCAGTGAAAATATGTTCTTATTCTTATGTTCTTGTTCTTGTTCTTATTCTTGTTCTTATTCTTATGTTCGTTATTCTCAGATACTAAAATTCATATGGAAACACAAAAGACCCTGAATAGCTAAAGTAATCTTAAACAACAAAAACAAAGCTGGAGGCATCATATACCAGATTTCAATACATATTACAGGGTTTTTATAACCAAAACAGCCTGGTACTAGCATAAAAATAGACATGTAGACCAGTGGAATAAAGTGGAAACTCCAGAAGTTATGCATGTACAACCAACTAATATTTGACGAACAAGCTAAAATCATTCCTGGAGAAAGGATGGTCTCTTTAACAAATGGTGTTGAGAAAATAGGATCTCTACATGCAGAAGTTAGAAACCTTCTGACATCTCTACTCTCTTCCCAGGCTTCTTTATATGTTCCACCTAGCAAAGAGATGCATTCCTAGGCAAAGGAAGTTAACAGTGGTTTCTCCTCTACTTCTTGGGAAAACATCTAGGCTTATCATTGTACCTACCTGGAAGGAGGTCCCTATAGGGCTGCTGTTAAGCTTCTCAAAATAAGAATGTTTGTTCAAGGAGTCCACACAGTTGTTTCTCCCAGTAACACGCCTTATAAATCCCTTTGCCCTTGCCAGGATAAGGAGACCAACTTAGGGTGGCCTTCATCAAGGAGCAAGTTTCTTTGCCATTAAATGTTTTATCTTTAAAAGTGAAGAAAATCTGCATTCCACTCCAAATATATTTGACATACAAGGGGTTCAGATTTCTTAGAAGACACATTGTAGGAAAGTTCCCCTCCCCATCTTCGAGTCAGAATTGATCCTCTAGGAATGTGTTCTATGAGTAATGCGCCCCTGGCTCCCCACTAACTAGCAGCCCCTGCGTAGCCCCAGGATGCGTGACCTCGGTATTAGCAACGCTGCATTGTGATCTCACTGCTTCATAAGAAACAAAGAACCTGAATTTAACACTCAGGAGAACACACACAAGGTATCTGAGCAGGAAGAACAGTAGAAAACATCTGCTCCGAGTTCTTGCTTCCAGAAGCCCCTGCAGGACCCCATGCACAGCCTGGAATGAGACAGTAACAGCCTTGACTCTAGACTTCTTCCCTCGCCACACTTTTCAACCAAATCAGTTGCTAATTTAACTGAGGTACTTGGTGGGTTTCTGATGATCTTTGAGAAATACGAGGATGTTTCAAAAAAGTTCGTGGGAAAATGACACTAAAACAGGATTTTATTTTGGCGTCAGAAATTTTGTGTGTAGTCTTGATCATGAACTTTTTGAAGACCACTCTATGTATGGTTTTCAATTTTTCCCCCTTGGAGGTTAACAGAGTGGCCAAATCCGTAGGTTTGAAGCCTGGTTCTTCAGGGTATTTCTATGTGATGCTGAGCACATCACTTAACCTGTGTGGGCCTTCTTCGCAGAGTTGTTATGGCCATGTTATGGGATAACAGAGATAAACTTACCCTGTTGCACAATACATGGTAATGGCTCAACCAATTGAGCCCTCGTTTTGAAGGGTCCGTGTGTCAAAAAGAATGAAAACCCCTTCTCAACCTCAGTCCCCAGTCTAACCCATCCGTGTGGGTCTGGCATGCCTTCGGCTGTTAACTCTCTTCTTGCCCCACAGGGTAACAGTTTGGCTGTCAACAGCTGCAACCGAGCCTCTGACTCATTGGTATCAGGTGCGCTGCCTTCTTCAAACTCCTCTCTTTGCCAAGGAAGGGGAGACGCTCTCAGGGAAAGTGCTGCTTGTAGCCAATAAACAGTAAGTAGGGAAGTACAGGTGCACGTTCACCTGTTAACTGGGCATTGAGGGAGTTGAAGTGGGAGGAAGCTGGCAGATTCTGGAGACTCCAGTGCAACTATGAATGCACAGAGCACTATACAAAGGCCTGGGGGAGTCTTCACAAAGTCTACACAGCCTGCAGGATACGTGTCATCCTTGAACTGAGTGTGTCAGGTGAGAGGAGCTTCAGGAACATCAAAAGCAGCCTTCTTCCCCTGGTCATGGAGGAAGGAAGGAAATCTGATAGATCATGGGGGCACTTGCCAAGGGCTTCAATTAGCAAGTTTAAACCTCGTGTAAGCTTCCTGGACTTGCTGCTGTCTAGCCACATGCCCCCAAATTTAGTACAGTCAAATTGATCTTCACTGCAGGGGAGAAATGCACTTTCTGGTGTGTCAGGAAGGACTGGTTGCTTCCTTATGGTAATTGACTTCACAAGGGTCCTGCAGCAATTACTTTGATTTATCTCATTTTTAGAATGTTTATTTTCTCTCCCCTTGTTGGAACTCTACTGTGTGAGTTCGAAGGAGGAGGAGGATCAACTTGGGAAGAGCACTCAGAGGTCATCACACTCAACTTTCTTCTCTCTCTGCCTCCCACTCGTCTTAGGCCTGTGCTGGAACACTTCAGCGACAGAGAGCTCACCACCTCACACCTCAACCCTTTTAGCTTCTTCCTCGCTTTACCTGCAGAAACCTAACATGTTCACGTACAAGTTCAAAGTGACAAAAATGTGTAGAGTCCCTCTCTATTCCCTGTTCTCACCCCACTGTCCTGGAGTGACAGTTTGGTTTGGGTACTTCCATGCACCAACATGCCACATCATTGTGAGGTTTGTTCTTTTTAGAGGAGGATTACATTAGTAGTTTCAAGTCCGTTTTTTAACTTACTAATAAGTGCTGGATCTGTACAGGTTTTGTCCTTCTCAACAGATGCATAACAATCATGCATATACTATAATGTTTTTAAAATCCTGGGTTCATTGCTTTGCTTTCATGCTTTTATTATTGTCATTGCAAGAGTTCTGCACATAGTGGGCACAGTGACAGATATTTCCAGATGAGATGTCCAGCAATAGAGATGTTATGCCACAGGGTATGTCTATGTTATCCATTGCCAAATACGACCTTTTTCAAAGGTTGCACCTTTCACACAGCCAAAGAAAATCTTGCTCATTTCACATCTTTCCCTATGCTGAATGTTATCAGTCGATACAATTTCTGAGAACCTGACAGGCCCAAAATTAATTTCTAAAGCATCTTGCTTCAGTTTGCATTTCTTTAATTATTAATAAGATTAAATAACTTTTCATGTGAGCATTGGCTATTAATGCCTTCCTCTCTACTTATTAAAATATTTTACTTCTTTACTCATTAAAATATGATTCTAATTGTTGATCCTTTATCTTCCTACAAATTATACTCATTGATATTCATTGTGCTTCTGAATTCAAGGTACAAAGCTCTGTTCCTAAGCTGTCGGTTGTCCAAATATTTGGAAGGCTTTGCTGAATGCCCTACCATTCTCCCTGTTGGTAGACTACATCCTGAATTCCTCCCTCCTATAAGAATGATTTTTAGGGCCGGCTCCGTGGTTCACTAGGCTAATCCTCCGCCTGCGGCACAGGCTCTCTGGATTCTAGCCCCAGTTGGGGCGCCGGTTCTGTCCTGGTTGTTCCTCTTCCAGTCCAGCTCTCTGCTGTGGCCCGGGAAGGCAGTGGAGGATTTCCCAAGTCCTTGGGCCCTGTACCTGCATGGGAAACCAGGAAGAAGCACCTGGCTCCTGGCTTCGGATCGGCACATCGCGCTGGCCATCGCAGCCATTTGTGGGGTGAACCAACGGAAGGAAGACCTTTCTCTCTGTCTGTCTCTCTCACTGTCTAACTCTGCCTGTCAAAAAAAAAAAAAAAGAAAGAATGATTTTTAGATAGTTTGAAATTATAAGTTCTCCCCTTCTGAAATAACCTGATTATCACTGTCTCCCTTTAAAATATTCATATAGGTGGAAGACATTTAATCTAGGGATTGAAACACCAGCATCCCATTTTGGAGTACCTGGGTTGGATATGAGCCTCCAGCTTTCTTTTTTTTAAAACATGATTTTTTTACCTATTAATCTTTTATTTACATACATTTCATATAAACAAATTAAAGAACATAGTGATTCTTCCTACCCTACCCACACTCCTACCTTTCTTCTTCCTCCTTCTCCTATTCCCATTCTTATTTTTTACAAAGACCTATTTTATTTTTTTTCAACTTTTATTTAATAAATATAAATTTCCAAAGTACAACTTTTGGATTATAGCAGCTTTTCCCCCCATAACCTCCCTCCAACCTGCAACCATCCCATCTCCTACTTCCTCTCCCACTTTTTTTTAAAGATTTATTTATCTTAAGTCAGAGTTACACAGAGAGAGGAGAGGCGGGGGCGGGGGGTGGTCTTCCATCTGCTGGTTCACTCCATAATTGGCCACAATGGCTGGAGCTATGCCGATCCAAAGCCAGGAGCCAGGAGCTTCCTCTGGGTTTCCTATGCAGGTGCAGGATCCAAAGCACTTGAGCCATCTTCTGCTTTCCTAGGCCATAGCAGAGAGCTGGATTGGAAGTGGAGCAGCCAGGACTTGAACCGGCACCCATATGGGATGCCAGCTCTACAGGCGGTGGCTTTACCCACTATGCCACAGTGCCAGCCCCACAAAGATCTATTTTCAATTAATTTTATTCACATAAGATTTACCCTACAATATGAGTATGAAAAAAAAAAAACAAACCTGTTCCTCAATAGTCAAGATAAGGGCTGTCATCTCATCTCAAAGTGTCAATTTCACTTCTATAGATTACCTTTTAGGTACTCTATTAGTTACCACAGATCAGGTATTTGTCTTTTGGAGACTGGCTTATTTCACTCAGTATAATGGTTTCCAGTTACATCCATCTTGTTGCAAATGACAGGATTTCTTGCTTGCTTGCTTCCTTTTTTATTTTTAACCACTGTGTAATATTCCATGGTGTACATATCCCATCATTTCTTTATCCAGTCTTCATTTGATGGACATCTGAGTTGATCCCATATCTTAGCTACTGGACTCGAGCTGCAGTAAACATGGGGGCACAGATAACTGCAGACAGTAGAAGTGAGCAGTGATGGTTCAGGTGGTTAAGTTCCTGCCCAACTGGGAGACCTAGACTGAGAGTTCCTGGCTTCCAGCTTTGGCCCCAGCTCTGGGCACTGTGGACAGCTGGGAATTGAACCAACAGACGGCAGCTCTCTCTCTCCTTCTGTTCATCTCTCTGTCTTTGTCTCTCTCACTCCTCTCAAGTAAATAAAATTTTTGAAAAAAGAAAATACAATGAAAAAAATTAAACAAACAAAAAACTGTTCCTCAACAGTTGAGACAAGGGCTGTTCAAAATCATTGCATCTTGAAGTTAATCTCACTTTTTTTTTTGAGAAACTTAATTATCTTTAAAGAAGCACCCAAGAATGATACATCCTTTGAGAGCATTACGCATAATTATAATAGAACTCTTTAAGGACAGAGGTCCTGCATGGAGAGTTAGTACATAGTGACTCTTGTTATAATTTAACAATTAACACTCCTATGTATGACATCAGTGATCACCCAAGACTCTTGACATGAGCTGCCCAGGCTATGGAAGCCTTTTGAATCCACAGACTCATCAGTATTTGAACAAGGCCACAGAAAAGTGGAAGTTCTCTCCTCCCTTCAGAGAAAAGTACCTCCTTCTTTGAGGAACACATCTGTCCACTGGGATTTCACCCACTGAGGTCCTTCATGCAGGACAAAAAAAAAAGAAAATACATAATAAAAAGTCTGTCCTTCTGTCTTCTCCATTATATGGCGCTTGTTATTGTTTCTTGCGTATGCTCATTAAGGAGATACAGTTAGAAAACACTGTACTGGTAGGAATTCATTTATTTAATTCCCCCACTTTATACCTTCTGTATCTCTTTTCTGCATCTAAGCCTTTTTACTTAGCGATGCCTTTCAAAGATAACCTCACATCAGCAAGTTGAGACCTGTCTTCTCTCCCTTGAGTTGTTGGTATTTCTGCAGCAAGGTCTGCCTTCATGAACATTTTCGCTTCTTCCACAGAAGTAAATGCTTCATCATGGTTTTAAAATTTTGACAAAAATATTTGTTCACATTCTTATCTGTGCCATGCATCATTTATAGGATACAGATTCTTCATTGGTATATAAATTTTGCTATTCTTTTTCTACTTTTTTTCTCAATAATAAATCTGTCTTTGCGATTACTTTAATGTTCTTTTCTTTTCTTTTTTTTTTTTTTTTTTTTTTTTTTTTTTTTAGACAGGCAGAGTGGCCAATGAGAGAGAGAGAGAGACAGAGAGAAAGGTCTTCCTTTTGCCATTGGTCATTGGTTCACCCTCCAATGGCCGCCGCGGCCGGCGCATCACGCTAATCCGAAGCCAGGAGCCAGGTGCTTCTCCTGGTCTCCCATGGGGTGCAGGGCCCAAGCACTTGGGCCATCTTCCACTGCACTCCCTGGCCACAGCAGAGAGCTGGCCTGGAAGAGGGGAAACCGGGACAGAATCCGGTGCCCCGACCGGGACTAGAACCCGGTGTGCCGGCACCGCAAGGCAGAGGATTAACCTAGTGAGCTGCGGTGCTGCCACTTTAATGTTCTTGTTGCTCATCCTCAAATGTTAGGACTTCTCCCCACAGCTGTTTATATAATGGCATCCTGTGGCATAGCAAGATGTGCCCATCTTCATGCTATCTGGTGTTCTCAGCACAAACTCTCTCCTTCTATGCTGCCACGGAATCATGCTGCTTCCTGGGAGAATGACTTCTCCTGTATTTTCTGCTCCATTCCATTGTGCTCCACTTCCAGGAACATTTCTGTCCAAAGTCCCACTTACTTCAAGCCCTGCATGGTATGGTACTATATATACACGTGTGTGTGTGTGTGTGTGTGTGTGTGTGTATACA